ACTATTTGCATACTAATTGCATCATGATCGGCTGGAGAAGTGAAGTGTTCGCAACTGACGCATGCCCGATAGCTGGTATAGATAAAGAAAAAAAATAAGGTTCAACAAAAAGAGAAAAATAGATGAGTAAAACGTAAAATAAAAAGCACGTGGTAAGACACGTTATGACAGCTAATATGTCACCTGAATGAAGGTTTAATGGCTGTACCAAACGAATATAAATTTAACCTACATGTATGTCTCTTGAATATATGCCCCAAATAAATATGTTTTCATATATTTTTTATTATCAGAGATGGGGAGCCAAATCGTGTCAAACAGCCAGAACAAAAAGAAAGGTTGTTGCTGTGGGTTAATGTCTAAGTCTCGAGGGCTGACAGATATTGCATCCTGCATGGAATCAGAAAAATCAAGGTGCTCCTGCCTAAGGAATCAGCAAACTTGCACTCGTCTCTGTAGATGTATAAATTGCAATAATCAAGGTTTACAGGAAAAGGGAGCAGTCAGCAAGCGTAAAGGTTGTACCTGCGGATCATTGAACAAGGTGAAAGCAAGGCGACTTTCCTGCCAAGATCACGTTGAGAGAAAGTCGAGATGCCCTTGTTTACGCGTTGGATAGGGTGTGTAGGTGCACAAACTGTGGAAATGGCAAGGACTGCCCCGACAAACGTTGCTCCAACACCACACCATCCAAGCGAAAAAGGACAAATCCACAAACATACAAACGAATGAGAGGGGCTGATTACTTAGCAAAACAGGGATTCACTGTATCTAGTGGTCCTTGGACAAAGCTAGAGAGCATCTTCCTTTCTGTGGTAATAGAGGTAATCGACGGTTCTGGCGTTGTCCTGAACTCTAAAAACATCGCAGAATTGTATAATTTTGTTGTATCTTCTGATGATGTAAAGGAGATTGGCATGGCTATAACGTACAAATCGTTGTCAAGCATAATTGGAAAATTGTCTCATTTGAAAGAGAAACATACTTTGCAAGAGTCACTTATGAATACTACAGGGATTCAAGACCTGGTTTAAAAGTGTATTGCGAACTTCCATTAAGATATATTTTGTAAGGTTTATTTGAAAGAGAATGAAATCTCAATCTTCAGGCAATTGAGCCTTCTTTCAGAACTTTTTAGAATAGCCTTTTAATATTAAGGATAGATAGATAGTGTCTCAGTTGATAAAACATAACAGGTAGAACTCGGGGGTACGTTTGATTTCAAACAAAAATGAAGGCTTAATATCTGAAAAAAGCATGGTTTTAAAATGTAAGAATAATAATGATAAAAAATCTACAATGTAGGACTATTTCAAGCATTGTCGTATTGTACGGAGCCCCGTAAGGTTTATGCAAATTTACACTCTCGTTTTCTGGTTTCGCGACTTTTTTTATTCGCGACATTCTATTTTTTTGCAATTTTTTTTTCGTGGCATTTCATTTGTCGCGTCTTTCTTTCGCGACTTTTTTTTTACTGTTTTCATCGCTGCTCGCTCAGAGACGTAGTCAATTGCTAAAAAAAGTGGCGACATTGTTGTAACTTGTTTATTGCCCCTAAATAAAGCAGTTCTACCAAGGTATTTAATGTAGGATAATCGTATCGATGGAAGCTTTCATTTAAGACTTTAACATCGAGAAATCTTAGCCGTTAGCCTTTGTTTGGCTCTCATATGGAATTGCTTCAAGTTTGCGTTAACTTAAGAGTATTTAGGCTAGCAGATAGCTACCGGTCACAATGAAAGTCGAAGAAAAAAATTGCTAAAAGTAAGGTCTCGAAATCAGAAAATGAGAGAGCAAATTTACGTGGCCCTACACGGATTCGGTAGTATTGACATTAAGATGAATGAAGCTGTTACGAGAACGGGTAGGGAGAGATGAAAGCGAGCTTACCCAGCCCTTAAATGGATCTCGCACTTGTTTTTAGAAGAGACTAAGCTAGTTGTACAGCTTGTGTGAAGGATTACACAGAATGGAATATAAAAGGTTGTCAATTAATAACTCGCGGTATTCTTGTAAGGCGACTAGCTGAGTCATGAAGAGCGCTGTCATCGTAGGAAAACCGCCTTTGACGTCTCTCTACATCAACCGAAGGTGTTGCGGGAGGCTATAACGAAAAACAGAGCATGCATATTCAGTAACAGGCAATAATAGCAAAATTAAAGTTTTAACATGTGTGAGCTAACAGTTTTTTCGGGTAAAAGGGACTAGCGTTGTCAAAATCCTTGAATATTTCAATTTGGGAATCTAAAAAAATATAACACGTGAGAAAACGCGAAAATTAAAGTTTAAAAACAACGAACCTTCATTGAAACACAGAAACACACCAAACGGATCGAAATCCACCAATTTAAAAACCTTGAACCATGACCTTTTGAACCCCTTGAAGTAAACTTCTGTTGTCTATGAGATCAGGTGCAGAAAGGGCACAGACTTCAGATTATTATTGGTAATGACAAAAAAGCGGATATTTTAAAATAATTTTCTAACATTTGAAATTATGTAAAAATGAAATAATCAACACGTCACTAGCGTGGAACAAAGACAACATCTGAGTCCCCAACAAGATGCATAGATATGACCTCCCATACACAAGGCTGGCGCTCTCTATCCACTTTGAACTTTTGAGAACTCATGAAGATCAAGGCCATATACTATACATTAAATATATCTTTTTTTTAGCCGATATTGGCGTTTCGAAAACATCCATTTTTCCGCACGTTGCAGAACTATCAATTCCTGTACTGACTGGAAGTGACTCGCTGAAAACATAAATAAATGCGTGGAGAGGATGGCTGTGAGGGGAGGGTTAAGTCCACCACCAGGACCAATGAATCAAATACACTATTGTCACAGTATTGTCAAACATACCTCCATAAATTCTATTAATAAATTGATTATTCAGTTGAAAAATGAGCCCCTTAGTCGTTCCCTCTTATAGTGTTAAATTCAAATCGGCATTCGTACATGCGTAAAGAACAGTGATTATTTCAAGAAAACATCCATTCAGAACCTCTTTATTTAAAAAGGGTTATAACAATTTTAAAGGCATAAAATATATCTAAAAATTCAGGACAACTAAGCCGGCAAAAATTTCATGACTGACTCGCCGTAAATTCACAGTATGCAAGATTGCAAAAATAAATCTGAAATCTGAAAATAGGATTTCCTATAGTCTCAAGCTAGCAAAATACCGTAAAATTCAGAAAAGAAGCCCCTCAATTTAAAAACCCATCCTATTTTTAAAGGCATTTCATGGTAATGCATGGCAATACATGACAATACATGGCAGTACATGGGGATACATGGCAATACATGGTAATAGATGGCGATACATGGCAGTAATTGGCTATACATGGCAATACATGGAAAGACAAGGCAATACATGGCTATATACATGGCAGTACATGGTTATAAATGGCAATACATGGCAATACACGGCTATACATGGTAATACATGGCAATACATGGTAATACATAGTAATACATGGCAATACATGGCATTAAATAACTATGCATGTCATTACATGGCTATATACATGGCAATACATGGCAATACATAGTAATACATGGAGTCACATGGCTGTACATGGCAATATATGGCTATACATAGTAATACATGGCAATACATGGTAATACATAGTAAAACATGACAATACATGGCTATACATAACAGTAGATGGTAATACATGGCTATACATGGGTATACATGGCTATACATGGGTATACATGGCAATACATGGCTATACATGGCAATACATGGCTATATATGGCTATACATGGTAATACATGGTGATACATGCTAATATATGGCTATACATGGCTATACACGGCTATACATGGCTATACATGGCTAAACATGGCTATACATGGCAAAACATGGTGATACATGATAATACATGGCTATACATGACATTACATGGCTATACATGGCTATACATGGCTATACATTGCTATACATGGTAATACATGGTGATACATGGTAATACATGGCTATACATGGCTATACATGGCTATACATGGTAATACATGGTTATACTTAATAATACATGGTAATACATGGCAATACATGGTGATACATGGTAATACATAGCTATACATGGCTATACATGGTATTACATGGCTGTACATGGTAATACATGGCTATACATGGCTATACATGGGTATACATGGCTATACATGGTAATACATGGTGATACATGGTAATACGTGGCAATACATGGTAATACATGGCAATACATGGCTATACATGGCTATACATGGCTATACATGGTAATACATGGTGATACATGGTAATACATGGCAATACATGGTAATACATGGCAATACATGGCTATACATGGCTATATATGGGTATACATGGCAATACATGGTGATACATGGTAATACATAGTGATACATGGTAATACATGGCTATACATGACATTACATGGCTATACATGGCTATACATGGTAATACATGGTGATACATGGTAATACATGGCTATAAATGGCTATACATGGCTATACATGACATCACATGGCTATACATGGCTATACATGGCTATACATGGGTATACGTGGTAATATATGGCTATACATGGCAATACATGGCTATACATGGCTATACATGGCTATACATGGCTATACATGGCTATACATGGTAATACATGGTGATACATGGTAATACATGGCAATACATGGTAATACATGGCAATACATGGCTATACATGGCTATACATGGCTATACATGGGTATACATGGCAATACATGGCTATACATGGCAATACATGGCTATACATGGGTATACATGGCTATACATAGGTATACATGGCTATACATGGGTATACATGGCAATACATGGTGATACATGGTAATACATGGCTATACATGACATTACATGGCTATACATGGCTAAACATTGCTATACATGGTAATACATGGTGATACATGGTAATACGTGGCTATACATGGCTATACATGGCTATACATGGCTATACATGGTAATACATGGTGATACATGGTCATACATGGCAATACATGGTAATACATGGCAATACATGGCTATACATGGGTATACATGGCAATACATGGCTATACATGGCAATACATGGGTATACATGGCAATACATGGCTATACACGGCAATACATGGCTATACATGGGTATACATGGCAATACATGGCTATACATAGCTATACATGGGTATACATGGCAATACATGGTGATACATGGTAATACATGGCTATACATGACATTACATGGCTATACATGGCTATACATGGCTATGGCTATACATTGCTATACATGGTAATACATGGTGATACATGGTAATACTTGGCTATAAATGGCTATACATGGCTATACATTGCTATACATGGTAATACATGGTGATACATGGTAATACATGGCTATAAATGGCTATACATGGCTATACATGGTAATACATGGTGATACATAATAATACATGGTAATACATGACAATACATGGTGATACATGGTAATACATGGCTATACATGGCTATACATGGTAATACATGGCTGTACATGGTAATACATGGCTATACATGGCTATACATGGTAATACATGGCTATACATGGCTATACATGGCTATACATGGCTATACATGGTAATACATGGTGATACATGGTAATACATGGCAATACATGGTAATACATGGCAATACATGGCTATACATGGCTATGTATGGGTATACATGGCAATACATGGTGATACATGGTAATACATGGTGATACATGGTAATACATGGCTATACATGACATTACATGGCTATACATGGCTATACATGGTAATACATGGTGATACATGGTAATACATGGCTATAAATGGCTATAGATGGCTATACATGACATTACATGGCTATACATGGCTATACATGGCTATACATGGGTATACGTGGTAATACATGGCAATACATGGCTATACATGGCTATACATGGCTATACATGGCTATACATGGCTATACATGGCTATACATGGCTATACATGGTAATACATGGTGATACATGGTAATACATGGCAATACATGGTAATACATGGCAATACGCGGCTATACATGGCTATACATGGCTATACATGGCAATACATGGCTATACATGGCAATACATGGCTATACATGGGTATACATGGCTATACATAGGTATACATGGCTATACATGGGTATACATGGCAATACATGGTGATACATGGTAATACATGGCTATACATGACATTACATGGCTATACATGGCTAAACATTGCTATACATGGTAATACATGGTGATACATGGTAATACGTGGCTATACATGGCTATACATGGCTATACATGGCTATACATGGTAATACATGGTGATACATGGTCATACATGGCAATACATGGTAATACATGGCAATACATGGCTATACATGGGTATACATGGCTATACATGGGTATACATGGCAATACATGGCTATACATGGCAATATATGGGTATACATGGCAATACATGGCTATACACGGCAATACATGGCTATACATGGGTATACATGGCAATACATGGCTATACATAGCTATACATGGGTATACATGGCAATACATGGTGATACATGGTAATACATGGCTATACATGACATTACATGGCTTTACATGGCTATACATGGCTATGGCTATACATTGCTATACATGGTAATACATGGTGATACATGGGAATACTTGGCTATAAATGGCTATACATGGCTATACATTGCTATACATGGTAATACATGGTGATACATGGTAATACATGGCTATAAATGGCTATACATGGCTATACATGGTAATACATGGTGATACATAATAATACATGGTAATACATGACAATACATGGTGATACATGGTAATACATGGCTATACATGGCTATACATGGTAATACATGGCTGTACATGGTAATACATGGCTATACATGGCTATACATGGTAATACATGGCTATACATGGCTATACATGGCTATACATGGCTATACATGGCTATACATGGTAATACATGGTGATACATGGTAATACATGGCAATACATGGTAATACATGGCAATACATGGCTATACATGGCTATACATGGCTATACATGGTAATACATGGTGATACATGGTAATACATGGCAATACATGGTAATACATGGCAATACATGGCTATACATGGCTATGTATGGGTATACATGGCAATACATGGTGATACATGGTAATACATGGTGATACATTGTAATACATGGCTATACATGACATTACATGGCTATACATGGCTATACATGGTAATACATGGTGATACATGGTAATACATGGCTATAAATGGCTATAGATGGCTATACATGACATTACATGGCTATACATGGCTATACATGGCTATACATGGGTATACATGGTAATACATGGCAATACATGGCTATACATGGCTATACATGGCTATACATGGCTATACATGGCTATACATGGCTATACATGGCTATACATGGTAATACATGGTGATACATGGTAATACATGGCAATACATGGTAATACATGGCAATACATGGTAATACATGGCAATACATGGCTATACATGGCTATACATGGCTATACATGGTAATACATGGTGATACATGGTAATACATGGCAATACATGGTAATACATGGCAATACATGGCTATACATGGCTATGTATGGGTATACATGGCAATACATGGTGATACATGGTAATACATGGTGATACATGGTAATACATGGCTATACATGACATTACATGGCTATACATGGCTATACATGGTAATACATGGTGATACATGGTAATACATGGCTATAAATGGCTATACATGGCTATACATGACATTACATGGCTATACATGGCTATACATGGCTATACATGGGTATACGTGGTAATATATGGCTATACATGGCAATACATGGCTATACATGGCTATACATGGCTATACATGGCTATACATGGCTATACATGGTAATACATGGTGATACATGGTAATACATGGCAATACATGGTAATACATGGCAATACATGGCTATACATGGCTATACATGGCTATACATGGGTATACATGGCAATACATGGCTATACATGGCAGTACATGGCTATACATGGGTATATGTGGCTATACATAGGTATACATGGCTATACATGGGTATACATGGCAATACATGGTGATACATGGTAATACATGGCTATACATGACATTACATGGCTATACATGGCTATACATGGCTATACATTGCTATACATGGTAATACATGGTGATACATGGTAATACATGGCTATACATGGCTATACATGGCTATACATGGTAATACATGGTGATACATGGTAATACATGGCAATACATGGTAATACATGGCAATACATGGCTATACATGGGTATACATGGCTATACATGGGTATACATGGCAATACATGGCTATACATGACATTACATGGCTATACATGGCTATACATGGTAATACATGGTAATACATGGTGATACATGGCTATAAATGGCTATACATGGCTATACTTGACATTACATGGCTATACATGGCTATACATGGCTATACATTGCTATACATGGTAATACATGGTGATACATGGTAATAGATGGCTATACATGGCTATACATGGCTATACATGGTAATACATGGTGATACATGGTAATACATGGCAATACATGGTAATACATGGCAATACATGGCTATACATGGCTATACATGGCTATACATAGGCATGTATGGCTGTACATGGGTATATATGGCAATACATGATGATACATGGTAATACATGGCTATACATTGCTATACATGGTAATACATGGTGATACATGGTAATGCATGGCTATACATGGCTATACTTGGCTATACATGGTAATACATGGTGATACATGGTAATACATGGCAATACATGGTAATACATGGCAATACATGGCTATACATGGGTATACATGGCTATACATAGGTATACATGGCAATACATGGCTATACATAGCTATACATGGGTATACGTGGTAATACATGGCTATACATGACAATACATTGCTATACATGGCTATACATGGCTATACATGGTAATAGATGGTGATACATGGTAATACATGGCAACACATGGTAATACATGGCAATACATGGCTATACATGGCTATACATGGCTATACATGGTAATACATGGTGATACATGGGAATACATGGCAATACATGGTAATACATGGCAATACATGGCTATACATGGGTATACATGGCTATACATGGGTATACATGGCAATACATGGTTATACATGGCTATACATGGGTATACGTGGTAATACATGGCTATACATGGCAATACATGGCTATACATGGCTATACATGGCTATACATGGCTATACATGGTAATACATGGTGATACATGGTAATACATGGCAATACATGGTAATACATGGCAATACATGGCTATACATGGCTATACATGGCTATACATGGGTATACATGGCAATACATGGCATTACATGGGTATACATAGCTATACATAGGTATACATGGCTATACATGGGTATACATGGCTATTTTGATACATTTCTTGATACACTTTAATAACCCTACTTAAAGTACCTACCCCAAATAAGGTCAGGCAGTGCCCCGCGTCGGAGATCTGCATGTAAACGATATAACGAATCCGGTAATCTGAAGTTTCCATATTCTTGACGAATCCGGAAAAATCGACTCTAGCGTAAACGTAGCCTTTAGAGTAACGTTTCACGTGTCATTGTTATTAACAAAATGAACAGTTGCAATGGATGTCAATGTAATGCAATATATAGGAGGATAAAGAAGTGTTCCATAAACTTTACGCGCGCAGGAAATCATTCTATTTTGTCTTTATGACGTCCTGTTTTTTATTGTTTCACGTCGCTAAACAAGTTTAGTCGTGTTGCGCTTTGGAAAGAGAAAAGTCATGTTGACAAAATGAATGTTTTTAATCTACCTCCTATAACAATGTTAGGAACTTTGACTGCTTCGGAAAATTTCAACGATCGAGGAAGGTAAAACTTGTGTTATTTTCACATCTGCTCTTTTCAGGTGATTTTCCTCGATGGCGTAAGCTTGTAGCAAAAGTACAGGGCACACGCGAAAATCTTTATTTTCCCAGACTAACTTTGCTTTTGCCTTTAAGTTATCAAACTACTGCGTCAACTTTTCATTCAAAAGTAGGTTAGCGATTCTTTAATTTGTTTAGGATTGAATTTATCTGGTTGTCGTGAAATTTTCTCTTCTTGGCCTCAACCAGTTGAAACTGAAATGTTATTTGTTTGGATGATTTTGTTTCCTTGGTTACATGTTTCTAAGGATCGAATGCGATTCAGGCACGCGTAATCAAAGTTACGTACGACGTCAAGTTCCGTTTTTTGTTTCCACAAAGTTTAAAAACACTTTTCAAAACTCTTTTTAATAGCTTTGTTGTAATCTAGTTGTAGCCGTGGGATTTTAAGGCTCAATTTAAGTATTAGCACACACTTTCACACGGTTTATAGTGATCAGCCGCATTTGAGCGGTTTACGAAAAAAATTTAAAATATTTATGCGCTTGTTATTGCCTTCAAATGCAGGAATCAACGTCGCTGAAGAATCGTTCCATCCACGCTTTACTGTTGTTGAAGACTTTGGAAGCAAATGAAGTAAGTTTAAAGCAAAGTAAAGAAATGCAATAAAAAAACAGAAGCAAATTAACCATGCTAGAGTTCCACAACGTAACCGACGGCTCTTAATGATTTGCAAGCGACCTTACATTTTGATAGAATATAAGCGTTCGTTCTGAGACAGACATCATATTTCAAGGGAAAACGCAAAACGAGCCTAAAAGGTAGGCTGTTTTTTAGGCTAATTTAAGTCAACGACGGTTTGTCTCTCTTCTCTAAAGACAGAAATAGACTAGGAAGAACAAATGGACATGGTTGATGCAAAGGAATCACAAACCGTGACTCATCGATCATGATCAACAAGTCATGGAAACATCCAATTAACCGCAGCCAAACAAGAAATCATCCAGCGAGATGCAGCAGCAAACAACTCCACATGGTTAACAGCATAAGCATGGAACAGTCTCTTAAGTGCCGTGAAGTTGGTTTTGAAATGGCTATATATTGGTATCGAGTGGCTGAAGGACATAAACTCAGACGCATTTGCTCGCATGGCAGTTACTGCATCGGATTCTACTTGTCCGGCAGACGGCGTAAGTTTGGCTTTAATGTCCACATGACTATTAATACCGGATAGCTTTTGCGCCGGCGCGAAAATCAAACGATATATTCTGCACATTCTTATCGGCCTTTTAGATTGTGAATCACAGCATGTTCATTTTGGACATTAATGATAAGAATCAGATAACTTGCCCCGTGGCTTCAAGTATTCAGTTGATAACACTGTGAGTCTTACAGCAAGCCTGACAGCAATTCTTTGTCCAAGAAGTCTGAGAATGTCACAGCAGAAGACGGTAAAGATAACATAACCCTGCCAGCTACAAGCCTGGAGAACAGAGAAATTAATGTTACCGCGTCGTCTGGCAAGGCTGAAAGAAAGGTGACTGATATCATGGAAATTAAACGCCGTGAACCAATCGCGTTAATATGGGTCATTCTGACAGTGAAGAACTAAGTAAAGATGAATCTGAACTTCCAAAATTTACTACATTGGCCTTTTTTGGTTTCCATCATGAAATTCGTTCATCAAAAGTACAAGAAAACGATGACGTTATGTTCCTTGCCGACACTGACCAATATGTTTATTTCAGTAGACATTCTGGATAAATTTTGGCCTGTTACGCCCCTAGAGTTTGCTGCTATCGGATACTATGGTATGGCTTTACATAAAACAGTTCCTGAAAACCGTAATACCGTTACGAGGCTTGACAGTGAGGAGGATGAAATTTCTACTACACTGGGAATAGGTCTGCTAATGAGAAAACTTATGCCAAAAAACTGAACAGGCCGCTTGCACTGCAAGAGAAGGACACTGAAATTGGAACCTTCTTTTTAACTTTGGAAACATTATTTTGCACAAAGAAAGCTGCCAGACGCCTAGCTGAATCACAGAGGTTGATTGCAAAGCTATGGAACAAGGGCTTAGCAACCATGCGCTTGATCAGATCAAATGAAACTCAGAAAAAAGGCTGGCAATCTCACAAATTGTAAGTACTTTGATGCACTCTCCTTTACATCTAAAAACAAAGTACGATCAGTTTACAACTCCTAATTCTAAAAAAAAAAATAATAATAATAAATCTCTCCCAGCATATTTCGTTTTAGAAAATATGCATCAATCGATCATTTTGTGACGGACGAAACTGATTTGAAAGTGACTGGTCAATCTTTGTTGTTTGTTTGTTGCTTAATTACAAAGCTATTTTCATTCATACTTCAAAATAAGATACTTCTAAAAGTTGTTATATAGCAGTTGAAGAATCGATGATTAATACGAAACAAAAAAATGAAGAGATTTGGTTATCGCACGCCCATTAGATTAACCGGTTCCTGGTTCTCGCAATGTGTTTCTTGACTTTTCTCGGTAAAATTAACTTTTGCTAGTCAAGGACTTATTTTAGGAAAAAAAAGGAGGACGTGAGTAGAGCGCACAGTTTGTGAAGTAATTTTTTAAACCTGTTGTTCGTTTGTACTGTGTTTGTGTTTGTGCATGTTTATTAAAAATTTCTTACTATCGCTCAATATCTTTCTAGTCTATTTGACAAGAATAGGACCTGGCAGGACAAGTTTGATCTAACGACCAATATTTCTTAGTGACCGATTATTGATGCACGGCTTTTTACCTCGCCATTCCTCAGGCTCACATTATAAATATCATCAACTGATTAATTCGAATGTTAATTCGAAAATGGAGGTAAGAGAAATCATGATGAGTTTTTACTGTTTGCCGCACAGTTGCCAAATTCAGTACGTTCCCTTTTAGTACAGGTCGAACTACACTATCGGCTTTTTACCTCGCCATTCCTCAGGCTCACATTATAAATATCATCAACTGATTAATTCGATTGTTAATTCGAAAATGGAGGTAAGAGAAATCATGATGAGTTTTTACTGTTTGCCGCACAGTTGCCAAATTCATTACGTTCCCTTTTAGTACAGGTCGAACTACACTATCGGCCAATTACCTGGAGGCTTTATAAAGCTAAAGGATACGAGTCATAGTTGTTTGGGAGTTTCTGTACATGAATATGTTTGTAAATGTGAACTGTTGTTTTAAAAATGGCAATGAAAAATTCGGTGCCAAAAAGCAAATAATTTAGATTTCTTACATAAGTCCATATAGACTGTGATAATGGCGCAACGCTCCCTTTTTATGGCCGATATAAGGCTAGGTTTTTGTGCAAGAAGAGGTTGCTAGGATAGTGAGTGAAGATCGCCATTGTTTCCGGCTACTGGTCCGTCAGTTAGGTTTTTTAAACATTTACGTCTGCACTCTCTTTTTGCAGTTGCATATGTGATATGTAATCTCCAAACTGAAAACTAAACAAGTAAAGGGGTCGAAATTAATACAATCAACAACATCAACACATCTTGACACAGGGGCACCCAACGTCAATTTTCGGAAAATATCTGTTCGGAAGACCGCGGATTTGAGATCTAGAATTTTCGGAACATTTTTTGGTAAAATTCTTGCTTGTTTACCTCTCCTAGGATTTTCGAACGTCTAAAAAATGGTATAATTGCCTATTTTTAAGGGGATTTTTACCCTAAAAAGGTCACCTAGAATTTTCGGGAGTCTTTTTTCTTGCTAAAACTTTCGAAAAGGTAAGTTTAGATCCCTATAATTTTCGGATCACTAGACTTTCAGCTAGGAAATCCGAACAGATGAAAAATTTTTAGGGGATAAAAATATGCCTATATCTACCGTTTAAATACTAAAATACGTTTAACAAGCTATGTTTAAGTGGTTTTGAACTATACTCTCGTTGGGTGCCCCTGTTGACACACACCACAACTGAAACTACTAACCAACAAAAACTTCCGCGACATCAAGAAACACCCATTCAATTCTAGCCCTGATCGACGCTCTTTTGAGCGTAATTGACTATACATGTGTACCAAGAGAGTAGAAAGGGGCTATATTCTCTCTTGCTAGACCATGAGAGTTAAAAAATAGAACACAAACTGCGGTAACAATATACATGATGAAACAACGCATGTTGCAAAAAACTAAGATTTTAAAGACTTTGCGTTTCGTAATCTCGACTCTCCAAAGGAGAAGCGAAAATTTGATATCAAATCGCATTCTCTCTATCATATTGGATAAAATGCTATACTGAACTGCACAGGAAAGGTAACACGATACTCATTTTGATCTTTAAGGGTATCGACGGAGGTTATATTGATAGAACTGTGCTAAAATTATTTCAAAGAGAGACATAGTTGGTTCGACATTGTAGAATGCTCAAAATAGCAGGGATTCAAACTATCCAAAGTAAAATCTCAGTGATACACTCGGCCGGGGAGTCCACGGTGACGAAAATTCAAGATATCCAGGGTAGAGTTAACAGTACCCTATACACTGTATTTTTTATTAACTGAACGCTAAACGCACTTCTCTTGTGTTCTACTCTACTGTACACTGCTATGCCCAGCTTAGCTCCCTGTTTCGAATATTCTCAGCCCTACTCTTATGTAATCTTCTCTAACATTGAGCAGCAAGGGTCGAGAACAGTGCTGAGAGCAGATCCCCCTTCCCCCTTCTCACCAAAGTGACCCAGGTTCAAATCCCGGCATCGACGCCATATGTAACAAATGATGAAACAATGATAGTTTGAGTTTGTTGTTGATTCTCTCCTTTGCTCTGACAGGTTTTTCTCTTTTCTCTTCAAAAGCCAACATTTCCAAATTTCGATTAGATCAGTGAATTGCTACCTTCAAAACTTTTGTTAATTAGTTATTTAGTTACTTATTTATCTACTAAGGAGCTATTCTACTGTATTATGTTATCTTATATTTGGTTATTGTTCTCTTTCTCCATTCCGTTATTTTCCTTTTCACTTAATTATCTTCAGTCACCAAGTAATAACTGCCACACTGGCAGCAATGACATCAGTAACCCACACAGCCGCATCCCAGCATGCACTGCAGAAGTCGTCCTTGGACAAGGTACTGGACAATCTCCCAAGGATATTGGTTCTACTTTCTTTTCATCAGCAGAAGATTTGCCTGACGATCTAAATATTGTTAAACATTTGGGATAAGCTGTATGTTCAATGTTGGTTTTTCCCTCCTAATATAATTATGAGAAATTTATATTTGTTGACTGAAAAGACGAACGTGTCGGTTTTTCACAATAACGACTATTGACCACCACAGAAAATGCCCTAACATACCCATAATGCTCTTTGTTTGTCGCCCCAAAGTTTTGCAGAAGCATTGTTTTAAGTTTCTTTTGGGGCCATTTGAACTCCCAAGTGATTGAATCTATGACAGAAAATGGCTTTCCTCGGGAACAAAGAAAACTGTCCCTAATTAACGGTGGTTGTCCGTACAGTGGGGTTCGAGTGACATAAAATTTATTTTCCCTCAAAGGGCTACACTACAATTACACTAAATCGCATTCAAGGTAAAGGAAGAAGTAGAGGAAGGTCATGTAGAAACGTCATGTGTACTTACCATTCTCGTCAACATCGTCGTAGTCATAACCGAACTCGAAAGACTTCTTAAACATCTGTTGATGAGTATACACAGGATAAAGTGCTACAATGACGTCATCTTTGTTGTGTCCGATGAGTGCATTGTCGAACTTGCGAAGCCATTTCTCATAAATACGATCCACAAAGGAATGATGAAGAGGAAAGATGAAGTCGTTTGACGCAGAAGATACATCTCCCATGGCTCCACCCACGACTATGTGAACCTGGTTATGTAAGGTGTGGACATTTGGCAAACGATAACCGGTCTTTGTACTGACGTAGCCTTCAAGGATATTTTTAGAATTGCAGCTTGACTCTTTGCCATAGGGTAGCAGGTCAAAAGTTTCAAACCGGAGGGCAAAGTTGACTTCTTCTGTGGTTGGAAATGTCATTGTATATCTCTGTTTTCTTAGAGTGTTCAAAAGAAATTTGTTTGTTTGTTTTTTGTCGGAAATTTATTTTGAGGGGAAAACGGCTGTTTCATATTTCACCGGAGACACTTTTTGCTTCATCATTATGAAAAAACCTTTATAAAGATTAGATATTATTTTGTTCTCTTGTATTTAGGTGTACAATGGAGCATATAGAAGACCAACCTCAGATAATGTAACAAGGGTGGAAGAAAAAAATCACAGACACCCGTTATAACTGTGCTGTGTGGCTAAAGGGTGGCTATAAGTGAAAATGGGAACCGATTTGCGTTGCTGGTCCGCTACGGAACAGAGATTCCAAATGAAAGTGTCATCCTTTTTGGTATCAAGTTGGATGAGGATGGTAAACTAAAAGTATCCCAGAAGCAGGTAAAAAGAGTTATCAAAGAAATGACATCAGGGTTGATTCAAGAGATGCATTCACGTTTTATTTAGACCTGACTTTGGACATGTCCATAGATTTACCAGTGTAAAATTTTAATAAAAAGAGTAAGGTGGAGTTTTATCCAGACCTGTCTGGGAAATTTCCATAGCTTTGTTAGTGTTATTATGGTCAATTTTAATCGATAGAGTAGAGTTTTACCCAGATCTCGCTTTGGAAATTTCAATAGATTTACAATTGTTAAGGTCAATTTTAATAAATCGATTTCAGTTTTATCCAGATCTGTCCTTGGACATTTCATAGATTTAACAGTGTTAAGGTCTTTTTTTTATAAATAGAGTAAAGTTTTACCAAGACCTGTCTTTGGAAATGTTCATAGAATTCCCAGTGTTTAAAGGTCATGCAGTTTTAATAAACAAAGTAAAGTTTAATCCAGAGTGTTTTAAGGTCAGTTTTTATCCAGATCTGTCTTTGGAAATTTCTGTAGATTTACCAGTGCTGAGGTCAATTTCAGTAAATCCGAGTAAAGTTTTATCCAGATCTATCTTCGGAAAAATCCATAAATTAACCAGTGTTAAGGTCAGTTTTAATAAATAGAGTAAAGTTTTATCCAGCGACCCGTCTTTGGAAACTTCCATAGATTTACCAGTGTTAAGGTCAAATCACTCTAACAAATCGAGTACAGTTTTATAGAGACCTGTCTTTGGAAATTTCCATAGATTTACCAGTGATTGGAAATATTATAGTAAGTGAATAACGTTTTACCGTGACCTGAGATTTGAACATCTGTTTTGTAAATAAAGTTGTCGCTGTTTTTATTCCGTGTGTTTTGGTCATAAACTGACGTTAATGTTCCTAGATGAGCTTGTGTTCTTGTTATGTTGCTGTGTTGACCTAATTTTCAATACTTCAGAAAATCTGCACTTAAAAAATTACGTGAGCGTTTTTCCACCACTTATCATGGAGGTCTCTGACCGCTGACTTTACCCATACAAAAAAAAAGTTATAAAAGCTGTCATCAATTAACATCACTTTATTTAATTCTCAGAATGCCGGAAATTACGATTCTGAGAATTTAGTTTTCCACATTTTTCAGTTCTACACAAAAGCACGTCCAGAGACTCGCGATCCCCAAAACGGACAGTGACAAATAGTGACTACCCTCGCTGCTCGCCACCGGAGACGTTTCGCAGGGAGAGATGTCTGCGATTTGGCCCCAAATAATAAGTAAGAATAATGCCAAGATAGAGGTGGTATCAAATTGAAATTACTCTTATCACAGGAGGGGCCTAACTTTCATTTTACATCAAACAATTCCACATGCATTGTAAAACAGGATCGTCCCAAACAAACCATTTGTTCTTAGTTACTGTCCTTATAAGACAGTTTTCTTCACCCTCAGGTCTAGAAGCCCAGACAAGTTTGCCCTGCAAAGGTCACGTAAGCATGCCCTGTCTGTCTTTGATTTAAGCAAATGTACGGTTTCACAATCAACTGTTTTCCAGTTGGGGAATACCAAATATGTCCGGGTCAAGGTCCTCAGCAAGGGCGGCTCCTCCCAGGAAATGAAAAATAAGGCATACTTTTTTTCTTCTGTTTTCACAAGTTGCGAGCTTCTTCTTTTCCCCCTTTTTTCTGTGCTCTTTCCTTTTTCTTGCTTCAGATGTTGTGGACTTGGTGCCAATTTGATATGTTGCCTTATATTTAGCCATCAATCTGTGCAAGTCCTCAACAAGATGTAACACATCTTTTTCAACGCCAGACTTGATATGGTGTCGTTTCTCATTGTTGAAACTGGGAAGGCAATTTAGGCCAGTCGTAAGTTTGCCACCCTCCATAAATAGGCTGTCATCATGTTTAGTTATGTTTTCTGTGATGGCATGAAGCTTATCCAATTATCTTGACTGCCCTATTGTTGCTGTCATCATGGGACGTCTTGTACTTCTCTCGGAGAAACCTTTCAGCACAAGCGGGGTTGTCGGACGACAAATAGCGAAGACGATTTTCAAGCTTTTCATCTTTTACAGTTAAATTATATTCGGTGTTGCGGGGGAGGGGGTAGTAAAAACTCTGAAGAGAACAGGAGAGGGTCTGAACTATTTCTGCTTTTGGCGAACGGGGGAGCACGACATAATAATTTCCCCTTTGAAACTCATTTCTCAGCCCCCCTCCTGACAATTATTGCACAGTCCCTTAGGGACCGGTCATTGTTTTATCGCCTGGGGGGTCGGAGTATTTAGGGGGGGATCACATGGTTTTTTGAAGACCTTTAGGGGGGATCAGCCGTAATTGACAAGCATAATGGGGGGGATCAGACGAAAAAAAAAAGGAATTTTAGGTCGCGCCGGGACCCCGGGTGAGTGCATTTGTAAATACTTTGGTAGGATTTGCCGCTAGGACTCTCAACCCCCAACCATATATTCAAGACCACGTTCAGTTGCATTTTGTATTATATAAACTTTATTCTAGCCCAGACACAAAACCCAAACCCTTTTACAGACCCTCCATTTTGTAAAAAAAGTATCACTATCGTAGTCTAACATACACGTTGTTAATCAGGCACGATCTATTGAAATTAGAAAGGTAATCAAGATTTTGAGAATGGAATACTTACAATTGCTCAAAATTGTTTCATGACGTTTCAGTTTGTTTTATAGAGAATCGTAATCTAAAATCATAAACGTTCATTATTTTAATACGCGGCCGAATGAAAACAACAAATAAAAAAGTGTTTATTTTGGTGAGGCTGTATCTTGTTCCGCTTCCGTGTCAGAATCTTCGGCAGCCCTCTCCACTGGCTCTTGCACAGTCTCCACGTCAGATTCATCGGAATCCTCGCCCGAACTTGACCCTCTTTCAGCACCATTACTGCTATTCTCTTCGTTCATTCTGGCCACTACCACTTTCAAATTGCGTGCCAGCTCTGTTTTAAACACGCCTCTTTCCAAAAGCCATAGCAGAGGATCCAGGTGGAGACGCTTGACAAATCTCGCAGTGAATCCTGCATTAATACTTGAGACACATTTGTAAGTATTCTTTTCGAGTGAATCGAAAACCTCTTTAGCTACCTCTTTTGAGGTAAGTTTTTCTAGGAGAATTGCTGCTCGCTGACGTAACCTTTTCTCCTTGATTTTTTTCACTTTTCTCTTGTTTTCTTTTTTTCTTCGGGATAGGCCGTTGTTCACCATGGGAGATGGGAACTTTCTCTTCAAGCTCATGAGGGTGGTCGTGAGCGCATTGGAGGCTTTCTGCAGCTCTTGGTGTAAGGCCTTCACTCGCTCTTGAGCTTCCTGGAAATATTTGAGCTCATCACTTGCAAACGGCCTTAAGGTATGCTCTTCTGTATAAAGGTTCTCTCGTCTGTTGTCGATAAATGAGAGCAAATCGGATGCTGAATTAAAGGCCTCATTGACAGTGGTCAAGGAGGACTCACACTTCGCGACATCACCACTGCCCTTACATCCATCCACGCCTGACATGAACTTCGTGATGTTTTGGCACACTCCCCAATTCTCGTTTCTAAGCAAGTTGTTTTCTTTATCGGAAAGGGCTTTTATCTTTGTGTTTAACTGCCAACGCATTTGCTGTTGCTCGAGGAGATACTGTTTGAAACCGGCTTGTTTACTCACGAATGAAGATTCATAAATCTGCGGTACAACACTATTGTAGAATTTCAGCCTTTCTGTGTGTGGGTTGGGAAGGAGATATTTTTCCCACGGCTTCTTTTCTGGTGCTGAGTCGTTCCTCAGGACTTGTAGCTGCCCGGAGCGTCCAAATGACAAAATCGCCTGCTTGCGCTTCTTGGGAGCACTGGCGGACGTAACACCTACCGATCACATTATAAATGTTTGTTAAGGATTGCGTTACAAATTATGCACCATGTTGCCTTATGTTTTTTGTTCATGGCTGGTTTGAAGCACAAGCCAATTATTTTATAGAGACCTTCAAAATAATCATCTAAGAAACGATAACTCAATACCTTCACTGCTTGTTCCTCTTTGCTTTGATTCGCCTTGTATCTGAGCGAAGAAACGCCTCAGACGGCGAGTTTGTATCTTCGTTAGTCCAATGTCTCGCTCAAGAGTTTCGTCATCAACGTCCAGGAAATGCTCGACCTTTGCAACACCAATTTGTTTAAAATTGTCCGTGTAATTGCTCAAGTCAGCTTTTGTTAAAAGATAGTCAATTTCTTTATCCATTGAAAAAATAATGAAAGCAAATCAGCGCAATTAAACGAGTTCTGTGCCCACGTTTCGGCTAAAGGTAGGTTTTATATGTTAATATGTAAAAAATAAAGTTAAAGTTAATATGTCACAACGATGTTAGTTAATAGTACGTCACAACAACAAAGCATTATTTAATAAGCGCACTGAGAAGATTTTTCGACAGTTGGACTTCAGACATTGTAATTGAGCAAGAATGGAAGATATGACAGAAAATCTTAGCAATCTGGACGATAATGGTGATCAGCTTGGAAAGCATTTGGATTTAAGTGATGGAAGTACCCATAAACGATGCCATAATGAAAAGCGAAGCGAGCGAAGGGCGAGAACTGAGCGGCTTGTATCAGATATCGACAATGACCAGGTAAATAAATGATGGCTTTGCAGTCTTCGTAAAAATATAAAAGCTAGTAAATGTTGTCTGACGTTTCGATGTTACTAAAATCATCATGAAGGAAAACGCGGCAATTTCTTCGTGATACTGGTCCATTATTTTACGCTCAAACTGGTGAGAAATAAAACAATAAAATATGCATGCAATAGTACAAGAAATCATTAACATTGAAACATCGAAACGACGCGGACATTAATTCTTTGTATTTAAAGACTGCAAATCCTGGTATTTGTGTTCACTATAATTTAGATAGAGTTATTCCCGGCATCTGAAAGACAACCCTATAATTTGCAGATCAGAGGTAAATAACAGTGTTAAATATTTAACTATGCTTACAATTAATACAATTAAATTAAAACGGAAATGTAGAACGCGACGCAAGCGAAGCGAGCGGAAGAAAAAAAAATGTGGGGGCTCCCTCGTGCGTGCGTCAAACGCAGACTATAAACCAGCGGACTTACTAGAAATTGACGGGATTTAAATTATCGCAAAGTGAAGGAAAAATACTTTATAATAAAATAAATAATGCGAAAGGTGTGTTTTTTAATTTCAAACTGATGAAGAAAATGAACGCGGCGTTATAAAGAAATGGAACTTGTAGAGAAAACAGTTGCCAAAATCCAAACTCAAACGAATCTCGCTACTTTAATTTGAGCGTTCTTTTAAGCGACAACGAACCGGTGGATCTCTACCCTGATAAAACAATACAATGCTAAAAGAATCCAAATTAATTATGGAGAACTTACCGCCAGCACCCTATAACCTGGGCCCAGTTGTTCAAAGGGTGGATAACGCTATCCACCGGATAAATCACTGTCCAGTAGCCTGCGTCGCAAACTGAATACACCGGTCAATACCGGGATTTCGTTTCAGGATAAATTGCAGGAAAAGTAAAAAGAAAATGTGCAAATTGGGGTACAAAAGAGGGGAGAATTTAGCGAGACCGCACCGACGCTTATCGTGGCTCAAGGTTTCGCCGCTCGCTATTAGGTGTCGATCGAGTCACGCGCAGTCTAGTCTGCAGTTGTTGCACACCTATACTTTCCTGATATTTTCCAAAGAAATATGAAAGAAAATTGTATCTGGGTGAATCGTTAAGATACATTCCTCAAGGCCATAGATCTAGTAAAACTGTGAGTTTCTCGATCTAAGACGAAGTCACCTTTTAACTACTTCAGGGAAAAAAGAGAATGGAGATTGTAACATCGCAACAAAGCTGCACCCTAGAGCAAAATAGGGGTGTTATAGAATAAGAATTATCGAGAGCAATTTCAGAGGAAAAGAAGCACAAGTTTCAAGGTCTGCTCTATGTCTTCGATCAACTATTTCTTCCGGTGCAAGATGCCAATGCTAAGACAAGAATTAGGTCTTCAATCCCCTTTCAAGAAGCATTAGAGTACTTTCTTGCGTTTCAACCTCAACACTCTGGGGCACCGTCAAAATATCAAAGAGTTGCCTTTCGCGAAGCTTTACTTCATGAAAAACATGGTCTCAGGATCAATATCATTCGTATAACTGAGGGTTTTGAGTATGTCGCGCTCCGTCCTGACGAAGTCGATTTAGAGTCATTCCTTTTGGATATTTTTAGTGCTTGTAGTACTAAAAGTGGACATAGTGCTCTTGTTCTCGATAAGGAAACCCTGCAAGGTATCGTTACTACTATGGACTCAGAATGGGATAAAATTTGTCTTAGAGTTATATTGCGATCCATATTCTCTAGAGAAGAAATGACAGCCTTAGGCTTCGATCCTGACAATCTTCCGTCTATGACGGAGAGAGTTAAATTCGTTGTTGAAGAGGTAAAAAATGCTAATGAGGCAGCAGCCGACCTCGTTAGGTTGCGCTTAAATTCCAAGAAGGAAAAGTTGGAAAAGGAGATAAAAGAGAAGGAAAACCTTATTCAAAAGAAAACAAATATTTGGTCATCCAAAACGTTAGAAGAAATCCAAAGCGAAGTACAAAAACTCAAGGAAAAAGTTGAAGACACGGAGGGGCTTCTTCACAGCCAGCCCACCGAAAGCAATTATCAGAGAAAACGCCAAATGCTCAAGCGCCAAGCTTCAAGCCTTATCGAATCTAATCGACTGAAGAGGCAAAAGTTGTCAAACCAAGGTCCGAAGCCAAAGCTAGATGAGGAAGATGAAGACTTCATTGCAAAGGCAATTGAGGATAAATCATCCTATCATGGTAAACTACCAACGAGCACACGTAAAAAACATAAAAAGACGATTCTGGGGTGCCAGAAATTCCAGCGCGAGAAAGTTTTGTTTCATGAGAAGCACCGATGAGATCACACTAAAGCAAGGAAGTTGCCAAAGTACGACTGGCCTGAGAAAATGGTATATGTGACCCCGGGTTCTCACCGTGTTTTTACGAAGTCAAGTGTAATGAATGAAACTGAAGAGAAGCTGATAACTGAGGACGATCGCCACTATGTATTTGTCCGGCCCAAAGCAATAGTGGGATCGTCAGGCACTGTATGGGCCAGCGAAACAGTTCGTTTGCGACATGAGGATCCATCAGCTTTTGAGGTTGACGAACCGACACCTGGCAGTCCACAGTACTCACTGGGATTTCGTAAATGCTGCGCGCGACTACACGATGACCTCTTTCTTTATTATGATATGACAGAGTCAGATGACCTAGACAAAATATCCGGAGAAACAGGAAGTAACTGTAAATTCTTCACTTACGAAAAAGAGGGAGCAGAGCACTTGAAATTAAGGATTGACAATTTGTTGCAGTTTTGCGAAGACACAGAAATGTCAGAGCACAATAGGGCTCTGTTTGCTAGTCAGATAATACCAGTCACGAAACGCATTTTAGATGCCATTGATGATCTGTTTAAAGAGGAAGTCGATTCAATGGAAAAAGATGCGAGAAAGGACAGGATTTTAATGGTAACCAGTTCATGTAAACATGGTCTAGAAGTTCTCGGAGATCTCTGCCTTCCACCTGTAAAGCCACGATGGGCTGACCTTACAGATGCTGGTCCGGGCGTAGGAGTTTCCAACTAAGAAGTTAGATTTCGAGACGCCGAGTTAGCAAGGGTTCACAATTCCGATTATAGAGTGCGATGTCATCGTTCGAGGGGCGACAGCGGGCAAGGTGAAGCCGAAAGGACAAACTCGGCAATTTCTGATGCTCTTGTGGATGGCGCAACTCTAGAGTGGGAAAAATATAGGAGGTTTGAGGATCTTTCAGAAGAGGAAATCAAACAACTGTCTCTCCAGTCATACGAAGAGTACGAAAAGAAACGGATGGAGAAAAATGCCTGGTATGTCTGTAGTCAGGTAGCCGAGAGAATTGATGATGCCCCTGTCCTTAAAGATTACATCAAGAACAAAGTAAGCGAGTCCCCTGATGATTTATTCTTTTTCAATTCTGTTTACCTCGACAACTATCGGGGTGCATCAGAACGAAACAAAGAGCAAGCGCCCGGTGCAGCATACTTCCGAAAGATCGAATCGTTTATGGAAGACCACTATATTCGTGGAGAACTTTTTATGGAATTCTGTCGTGATGCCTGTAAAGAGTCAAGAGAAGAAAGTTCCAATCTCTGTTCCTGGTGTTCTAACAATAGATGGGTCGGTCCAGAAACGGAAAGAATTCCGCAACCTGTACCAGACTCAAACAATCCTGGACATTTCATGGATATCTATCAGACGGAATCGACGGGCAGGACACCAGATGATTACCTTCCAAGAAAATGTATTAAATATCTGTACGAGGAACATTCTGACAGTATCAGAAACGAGCAGGATACCATGAAGAGCTTCTGCTCAAAATATAATGTGGAAGAGAAGCACGTCATTGCATATGTTAATCATTTGAAGGATATCGAGATCCGAAAGGACATGAGAACAAGAGCAGCTGAGGAGCGAAGAAGGCAAGAGGCCGAACGAACGTGCAAGGACTTTCAATGGGATAACCTCATCGAGGGTGGCAAAGTTGAAAAGTTGCGGGTAAGAGAACTAGACCTGTATCTCAACAAGCATGGTTTGACGACTGTGGGTCGGAAACTTGACAAAGTTAAGGCCATTCGATGTCACTATTACCGACAGAATAAAGAGACTGTGATAACAGAAGAACTGTCGAGTGATGAAGAAGACGTGGAATCCGAGGATGAAGAATCCGAAAGTGAAGAGGCAGAGAGCGACGATGACTATGTTTTCGTGGATTTGGATGAACAGCCTGAGATTGGCACTTCCGCGACAATTCAGTTCGTATCTGACGAGCAAATATCTACCGTTGTTGTTCAAGGTCCATGAGACGTAAGTACCACTATTAAAGATATCACTTGCATATTCAAAAAGTTATTTGGCGGTGGCTGGGAGAAAGGGGGGGGATCATGAAACTTTCCACTACCAATAAGGGGGATCTTTAAAAACTAGATACTCTACGGGGGATCAGGTAAATGCTCCGATGTGACAACAAAAAATACTGACCCCCAGGCGATAAATAATGACCGGTCCCTTAATGACTTCCAATTTCTTGTACTTGAGCTTATCCACTTTCCATTCTATTGACCTTTAAGGGTTTCGAGGGAGGTTATATTTATAGAACTGTGCTAAATCTGTTTAATTGCACATACAGTTGGTTCGACATTGTATATGTAGGATGCTCAAAATATTATAGGGATTCAAAATATCCAAAGAAAAATCGCAGCGATACACTTGAGAAGTCCAGGATCTAGATAACAGAACCCTTTACACTGTATTTTTGATTAACTGAACGATAAATGCACTCTTTTCGTGTTGTACTCTGACTCTGCTCTGCTCAGCTTAGCTCTCTGTTTTGAATATTCTCAGCCCTACTTTTACATTGTATGTAAACTTCTCTTCGAAAGAAAAGGGTGGCGGGGTGGTGAGAGCGCTAGCCTCCCACCAATGTGGCCCGGTTTCAAATCCCGGCGTCGACGCCATATGTGCGTTGAGTTTGTTGTTGGTTTCTCTCCTTTGCTCTGAGAGGTTTTGCTCCAGGTACTCCGGTTTTCTCCTTTCTTCAAAAACCAGCATTTCCAAATTTCGATCAGATTAGTGAAAGTGCTACCTCTAATTATTGTTATAATATTTACTTATTTACTTACTTATTTATTTACTAAGGACCCATCCAACTCTATTATATTATGTTATATTTTAGTATATACACACTCAGTGATCTTGGTGAATTAAGCAATCTGATTGGTTCGCTATCTCGGACTATTCAACAATATTCACCTCCTAGCGAGTGGATAATGTATGAGCTCGGTTTTTTCCCCATTTGTATAGAGAAAGATCTTTTAAAAGTCGACAAAATCCTAGGGTTGACTTTTTTTCAGGCAAGAAAAGACTTCGAAGGATTCAAAACGGCGTTTTTCCATTTACTGTAGTTGAGTTTTGTGGTCGATGGATTGTTTACAACTCCCGTTTATTCGCCTAGAAGAAGCCGTTTCGTGAGCTCAGCGTTTCCTGACAAGAAAAATTTGGCTCAAAAAACGAAGTTTAATATTTAAGACAAACAAATTTGAAAGCAAATGTTTGCAGAAATTCTACGTTTCATGTAAATAGGAGAAAGAATGCTACATGAAGCCGAAGTCTTACCTCGAGGAACCGAATCGCCATTTTTGTCAGCACTTCATGCGAAGAACGACACAACAAACCTTTTCCGTTGTCAACTTGACCAGTCAACAGAAAACAACAAAGCTTTTCTTTTCTTCTCAGGTAAGGAAACGATTCAAACTTTTAGCGGTTCCATTTAAGTCATTACACTGTTGTTTGCGAAGTGGTAAGCTTGTGAATTGCCATGTTTGAAAATTCTACAAAGATCAATTTTTAAACTTTCGCGTGTCTAGCTCATCTGTTCTGTCAATCAAATCGTACTTTTTAATGGTTCCTCTCTCATTTTGCTGAGATCACTTCGTGTGTATATACTAAAACAATTATTCTTTTCAATATCGGTGAATAGTGGCTTTAGAAATATTCACCTCGCCACTTCGTGGCTCGGTAAATATTTAGCCACTATTCACCTCGATTTCAAAAGTCACCAAGTAATAACTGCCACACTGGCAGCAATGACATCAGCAACCCACAAAGCCGGATCCCAGCATGCACTGCTGAAGTCTGCTTTGGACAGTCACAGTCAAAGTACTAAATTAATATAAATTAATATAATTGTTATATATTTGGAATAACAATCCGTAGCAAACGAAAATTTACTGATTTTAGAGAGCAAGGCATGTTTCCATCGATCTCGATCACTGATCAGTTCAGTTACGCGTACAAGGGAAACACTTATATGATTTGAAGTTATATTTTAGTGGGACAAGATTCATGATACGATTGGCACTGATCGATGCAGTTACAAATCATGATTTGTTGTGTTTTCCCATTTCAGACCACGTGGTTGTTCTTTAGAGAACTGTCCCTTTGAAATTTTCGCCTTATGCGCGAGCATCCACGTGCATATGTATGCATAATTTATGAAAGGGCAAAAGGGAAATTCCCGGGAGAACATCACGTGGTACATGTAAGCTAAAAATAGTCTGCGCAGCGGTCGCTTGGAGGCAATGGGCTCCTGCAGCTACGCAGCCTAAACTGGAGAGGTCTATTTGAATCTAATGTTATCCTGAATAAGCGCCAGATAACGAATTATACAAACATTAGAGAAAACTTAAAATGTTCAATCTGTTTAAAGGTATATTATGCAACATAATAAAGAAAATAAGTAATGATAACGATCACGATATTGATGATAATAATGATGATGCTGATGATGATCATAGGAAAAGTAAAGTCTGGTTAAAACAAAAGAGCATACTCAAATGACAACGGACACTGTTGTCTTTCCCAATCACCAGAGAAAAATTCATATAATTGTATATTAGGAGGAAGAATCAAACATTGAACATGCAACTTTACTGCGCAGGTGATTGAACGGAAAGAAAGGGCTTTTCACTGAAAAAAGAAAACTGTCCGTAACTAACGGTGGGTGTCTGTACAGCGGGGTTCTAGAGACAAAATTTTTTTCCCTCAAAGGGTTACACTACAATTCAACTAAATCGCATTCAAGGTAAAGGAAAAAATAAATCAAGGTCATGTAGAAACTTCATGTGTGCTTACCATTCTCGTCGACATCGTCGTAGTCATAACCGAACTCGATCGAAAGATCATCTTTGTTGTGTCCGATGCGTGCATCGTATGTTCCAAGAAACGAAGCGCTCTTGTTGAACTTGCGAAGCCATTTCTCAGACGGATACGATCCACAAAGGAATGATGAAGAGGAAAGACCGGGTCGTTTAACGCAGAAGATACATTTCCCATGGGTCCACCCTCGACTATGTGAACCTGGTTATGTAAGGTGTGGACATTAGGCAAACGATAACCGGTCTTTGTACTGACGTAGCCTTCCAGGATGTTTTTAAAATTGCAGCTTGACTCTTTGCCATAGGGTGGCAGGTCAAAAGTCTTAAACTGGAGAGCAAAATTTCATCTTCTTTGGTTGGAAATGCCATTGTATATCCTTGTTTTCTTACTTTTTCTTCCGTTAGTTTTTCTTCTCATTGATCCCTTCTAAATTAAACCAGGTTTCTTGTTCGTTGGGTCACACATCTTCGTCAGGAAGTAGGAATTGTTCATTGCTGCAAATGACGTACCAGTTGTTAAAGTATTTGCCCTTCACAGTTCCATCAGCTTGGTTTGTCACGCCAAGAAGCTCTTCAGAACAAATAGCGGGATCACATTGTGTTTTACTTCCGGTCCAGTCCCAATAAGGAAGAGCAAAGTTTTTCATCGTTACTAATTTCCTGCAAGGTTTTTTTCCCCAAGCCAACATGTACAGTCGATGCCACGTAGGAAACCCCTGCCCGTCATGCGCAAACTCAATATCTGCCCTTGTCATGTCATGTTGGTGTCTCGTGCAGCATAGTAGTGCATTCACACGAACAAGTAATTGTTGCTGACGTTGTGAAAGAGTGCTGTCGGGTCGCGGTTGGACTTAACCTGGACTTAACGGTTTTGTTGACCTCTTCACTGTATGGTGTCAAATTCACCACATAATCGCTTATGTAGTGCCCGGACGTGTTGATGTACCTGATGTATTGATCCTTCTCCCCGGCCGACAACTTGAGAAAATTTTTGCGAGTCAGAGTTTTTTTCTCTGGATACAGTCATTAGTAGCCAAACTCGCACTTGCTGCAGTCATATCCAGCAAAGTTTTAATTGCATTTGCACGTTTTGTGGTAAAGAGCAAGAGGTCAGTTATGGCGCTCGTCGTCTTTCTGGAAAGGTTGGTTATGACTGAACTTGAAGGTCCAATCACGAATGATCATTTCCTGTCATGTACCTCTGTTTCTACCGCTACCGCGTGGTGCACTAAATCCTTTTGGGATTGGACAACATTTCTTGTTTTTCAGATTCGTCAGAAATGTACAAACTCTAGGAAACTGACCTTCAGCCTAGAGTAAGGTGAACACAAATAAGACAAGAGGCATGATGATACGGCAGCTCATCTTACTTGGGACTTCCTGAATGAATAAAGAGGATTGTTCATTTTCCAGAAAAGGCTAATGTTCAACCAAGAGGTCTTTACGGGCTTCAAAATATATTATCAAATTGTTAGCCGTCAGTCGCATTGTAAAATGGTTTGAACCTAGTATTGAATAGGAACGCTTTTTAAAACAGCGACTGTCTCCTCCACAGAGGCCTCTTTGTGTTGTAGGGGGACTGGGGAGAAAGAAAAAGAGAACGCGCGGGGCATGATGGGAAGGGCAAAAAAGGAAGAGAGGCCTCTGCCATATAACTACTCGTTTCCTTGTAATGTTGTCTATTTGAAGTACATGACCTACTTTATAAGTAAATTAACACGAATTTGGGTAAAATCCTATTTTATAAGTCGAGTTATCTGTTGAATTAAGAAACTCTTATGGTATACCATATATAAGCGAAACATCTACTCGTTTCTTTAATTAATATTGTCTATTTTAAGCGGATGATTAAATTTATAAGCAAATCTGAATTGATGTGCAATTGATTTTGTAAATAACTCTAATTACATGTACCATTGCTTACTGTTACGCAGGTTTAATCCTATATCTTTTTAACATTGTCTATTTCATTTGCCTGATCAACCTCATAAGTAACTTATGAATATTAAGGTATATTCCTTTTCACAAGTAAGTTACCTATGGGATAGGAAACTCTAATATTGCAATCGCTTAATGTGCTAGCTACTCCGCAGATTTAATCGGCGTAAAACGTTTCATGAGCCAAAAACTGATACAATTGTTTCTTCACTTCACTATTTCAACATTGTCTACTTCATAAGCACATAACTACAACTGCATAAATTTAGGTAAATTCTATTTCATAGGTAAGTTACCTTTTGGCTACGAAACTTTTATTACAAATACCTAATGGGCTTTACTACTCGACGGATTCAACGGTATATATAGCCTAAATTGAATTTTTATATAGGCGACATATCTGTCGGTACCTTTCGTCAATTTTACGTCTACAACCTACTTCATAATAAGTATATAAGTACATAGAAATTGAAGTAAACCTTGCTTCATAAATAAGTTACCTATTAACGGCATAGGGAACTCATGTCTACTCCAGTAACATAACTGCTATTTAGTAACTACTACGCGTATTTAATTGTATATTCTACAACTTGTAATAACTGCCATATCTACTCGTATCTTCAATTCTGATTATAACAGTATTTTTCAAAAATATATTGTCTCCTTCGTGTGTATGAACTTCTTCAGGAGAAATAATAAAATGAATGTAAACAGGGGCATAGCTAGGGGGTGGTCCTGGGGTGCCCGTGATCCCCCTTTGTAAGGTAGTTGTTTTATGTCCTTACAATTCAGGCGGCCAAAACCTGCGAATCCGAAGAATCAACATGCAATAAATCTTTTCCAGTGCTAGGTTGTTGCTTACCCCATTTGCAGGACCAAACATCTGCAGTGGACCATGTTCTTGTTCCTTGTTCGCAAGTAAAATAGAGTATATTATGCTACGTGGAACTGAATTAATCCATGCAGCTATCTCACTGCTCATCCAAAACAATGTCACTTGTAGTAACTAAAACACGGCCAGGATGTGGACATACCAATCTGGTAAGTACCCTGGGTGTGACACAGCGTGACCTCCCCCCCCCCCCCCCCGCCTCCTTTGAAAATCCTGGCTACACCCCTGTAAAGTAACGTAATCTATTGCATATGGAAAAATAAAGCTATTTACTTCTTATTGTTCCAATTTAAGCATCGTATAAGCAAGCTTAGGACATAGACTAGCGTCTCAGTGGTTTTCTCCCAGACCTATAATTTACCTTGTTTTTAACAACGTTACTCCAAAAACGGCATTTGCTATAAACCACGATGGGAAATACAAAAAAATACACACAGCTGTATTACTTCTGGGTATCGTTACTAAAATTTTACAGAAAAGTCCTCGCTACTTCCAATTTAACCTAACTAATTGTTTTCCTAGTAAGACTTTTGTACACTACTTTGTCACGATAAACAATTGAACACGACTTACTGCAATAGACATTTTAGCAATTCAATTCTATCAACTGCGAAAATTTTCACAAAATATTTGATAGACGTTACACAGCTCTGGATAGTTCATCGATTATATTCTGCATGGTTGGCCTCGCTTCAGGATCTGCCTGCAGGCATCGCTGTACCAGGCCTCTTAGGGCGCGATTCGTCATTAGTAGAACTTGCTGTTCACGTCTTCTCGGATCTGGAAGTTGCCGGATGCACATTTCACAAAGAAGCACACCAAAGCTATAAACATCAACCTATGAACAATACACAGATTATTTCTTGTTATTTGCCTTAGAGCATCCTATTATACTACTACCAGTTATACCCAGCACTTAGTGTCATTTTTAATTTCTATTTATCTATTTAACATTTATTAGATGAAGCTGAGTATGATCTGAGGAATTATGCAGATTAAGGTGGAGGCGGGGGGAGGGGTTAAATTCGCGTCTCCATTTGACTGTTCCTTAGCAAATTCAGGAGATAAAGGACTATAAAGTCTAACACATATCGTATTTATTCAATGAAGCGCCCAGCCTCGAATTACAATGTAGCCCATCTCGAATAAGCACCTATCCTATCCTGTAGGGAAGAAAAGTTAATAAGCACCCACCTCCACCCCTACCCTCCCCCCTACAAAAACAACTGAAGTAGACAAGAACAGTGTGGTTATTATTTATTTACTGGCCTATCTGCTTCTACAGTCGAAACTCTACTGCTAAATATGTTCTTTGTCCTAGCGGACAGACAATATGTTTACTTTTATTGAACCTCTGGACAAAAACCTCAAAAGTCCGTCCCAACGGCCAAAATAACCTCTCTATAAAGGTCATTAAGCATCGAACGTTGTTGGGAGCATTTTGGTTCGGTATTACATTCTGGTTTTAATGTCACTTATGGTAGATTTCCACTGTAACGTAAATTTTATGTCGTAGATAAAAATAGAGGCAAGATATAAAGTGTTGAGCTTTTTTTAAAAAACGTGAAGTTGAGCGAGGTTCAAATTTTACGTTTACGTGCGACCTTTCAAACATTGCCCCTATTTCATTTGCGAACGTAAATTTTACGCACGTACGCACGTAAAAACTACGCGACAATGGAAATTCACCCTTAATAAGCTTTAATAAGGAAAGTCTTTTAAAAAGATGTTGTTACTCCAGCTCGCCGCCTATAGCCCGTACCTATTCTATTAGGATTGATTTCTTCTATCGCGTAATTTTCACGTGCCTACGCTAGCAAATTTTTACGCTCGTTGAGCGATGTGCAACTTTTTCTTTTACGCCTGACCTTCTATATATTGCCTCTATTTTATATACGCGCGTATTGAGCGAAAGTGGAAATCCACCTGTAGTACGTTTCTGTACATTGTGGGTTTCTTATTCAAGGTTAGTTTCTCTTCACGATTCACTCTTTTCACCGCAATTAATCTTGTTTACCACCCGCCCCAAAATGTTGCATTACCATTGTCGGCTGTAATACCCAGGAGGAGCTGGAATTTAAAGTTGTATGATTTACAGCAAGAAATTGTTTAAAGACAAATGTGCAAAAACGTTTGTCAGTGATTGTAGCTATCGAAAAACGAGCAACTCGCTCCTACCGCCTCGGGCTGAGCCTCTCATATCATACTAGCATTACTGACATTGCGGATTGCGGATGGCCTCGGTGAGAATATAATTATTACAATCAGGTGATCTTTTTAAGCAGGGACTTCACTCTCTCTCAAAAGGCAGTCGTTGAAGAAAGGTTCTACTCTAGAGACCAGTTATTTAAACGCAGTTTAGTCAGTGTTTAACAAAAACGTGTTTTAATCCATTTTTAGTTTGCCCAACGCTTTTATGTAGACACCATTTAACGAGAACAGTTTCATTAGAGCATATAATGTGGACAAGAAAAGCATTTATCTTCTTAAAAGAACCCACTCAGGAAGAGACATGGAGGTCCAAAGATTTCCTAAACCGCGGCATAAGTTGGACTTCATTTAAAAAACCGGCCCTATCAGTTTTGTCTACGAAGTCGCCACAATGATTAACTGAAGAACTAATGAGAAACATTTAAATCACAACAGACGCCTGCAGCTTAATTTGTTTTCGTGACATAAACACCTACAATCACGGACAAAAGTATCTGACACACTTGTTTAAAACGGGTGCTTTTATCAAACATTTAATTCATGTATTATTTCGTTCCCTTAAACGCCGTAAATCCCGAATCAATGTTGTCTGAAGTAAAAGAAAGACTTCAGGGTCCAAAATACAACATTGATTTTGGGGGGAAGGGGTTCGGGTAAACAGGGTAAGGGGATAGGTATGTCCACTATGCAAAAAGGGGCCGTTTTACGGAAGTGTCCCAACACTTTTGTCCCTCACTGTAGCTACCCCCTGAAAACGACCATAATAATGGAGCCATGTACATTCGAGTTCAAATGGTGATGGTTTAACAGGGGCACCCAACGAGAACATAGTTCAAAACCACTTAAAAATAGCATTATTGAACGTATTTTAGTATTTAAACGGTAGATATAGGCATATTTTTATCCCCCAAGAATTTTTCACCTGTTCGGATTTCCTAGCTGAGAACAACCTGGCCTTAAAGTAGCTACGCGCTCAAGATGACTGCACCAACGCGTCTCTTTGAAGACTGAAGATGTTGATAAACCAGTGCTGAATAAAAAAATTCTAAATTCACTAAAACTTACCTTGACTGTTTGGTTTGATGTAAGCGCTTCAGGAGCGCTGTAAATCATAGCTCCAGGAGCTACTGTCATGGTCAGCTGCATGAAATTAGCAGTGCCATAATCTGACACTTTGCCTCTCCATTGGTCACCCTGTCGCCATAGCAACACATTCGCACTGCTCACATCCCGGTGAATGATAGGCTCTGGTTTTTTCTGATGAAGATAGTTAATTGCTCGGGCTACATCCAAAGAAATTACGCGTATTTCTATTTCGGCGAGTTGTCGCTGTTCTAACAGAGCTCGCAGACTTTTCTCCATCAGCTCGGTCACAAACAGAGGGTTTCCCTCATCGTTAGTGGCGCCGATAAACTGAAGCAAGTGAGGATGGCGGCACTTGGATGCAATATTCATTTCTCTCTCAAAAAGAAGTATGTTATGAGGGGAGAGAATAAGATCATGAATTTGCTTTACTGCTACAGTGCAGCCACAATACACGCCTTCATAAACACTTCCCCAGCCTCCCCTGCCAAGGCATTTATTGGTCATTTGAATGTCATCGCGGGAAATGACCCAATCGCATGTTTCCTGTTGTTGCTGTTCACTTATTGTTTGCTGGGCTAACGAAAGACTTAACTCAAGTTCATTTACTTCCTGGTCTCTTTCTCTCAACTGTCTTCGCAAATTTTCTTCACGTTGCTGCATCTCCCTGAGCTGCCTTTGTGAGTTTTGCTGCATCTCGCTTAACTGCCTTTGTGAGTTTTGCTGCATCTCCCTCACCTGCCTTTGCGAGTTTTCTTCACGTTGCTGAGTATCCCTCAGCTGCCTTTGTAAGTTTTCTTCACGTTGCCGCATCTCCCTAAGCTGGCTTTGTAAGCTTTCTTCGCGTTGCCGCATCTCTCTGAGCTGCCTCTCTAAATTTGCTTCGTGCCGCCGTATTTCCCTTGATGGCCCTGGAAAGTTTCCACCAAGTGCAGGCGTTTGTACGCTTGATCCACGTAGATCCTCCATATTTTCTGAGGAGAATACAAAAAAAGAGTAAAAAGACTCACACACGTTCTACATACTTCTACGATCAGCAATGATGAAAGAGTACTGTATAATGATACAGAGACACAGATGGGAAGGCTGCCAAGCCATTTACTAGGTTCATATGTGACACACTTCCTACATACTGCTAAGATCAGATATGATGAAAGAGTACTGTATAACGATACAGAGACACAGATGGGAAGGTAACCTGAGATCAGGCGTTTTTTTTTTTTTTGCTTCTTTGTTCCTTTGGCTCGAGAGAGGAAAAAAATAACGCCTGATACATTCATTTAACAAGCCGTTAACCACCCCCTAATTTACATAATCTAACGTCTCCTTGACCTGTCATGTTATTAGCCAATAGGTTGCCAATAAGCGTTTACCATACGGGAATCAAATTTTGGCGCAAATAATGTCTCTTGAAATCAATTTTAGCGAAAAGAAAATTTTTAAGTACGTCCATATTCAGATGACGCTTCCTAAAAAGAATTTTAAATGTGTTCAAATACTGCTAGCTGGAGCTGCCGTACCTTTATTTAACAGCTACAAATAATAAAGAATTTACTGGTTAAAGCTCGGTGACTTCGTTCTGTGCCGAAAGCAGTGAAAAAAAATTAGGCTGAAGCACCATATTTTACGAACTGAAAGGTGTTGTGAAAGCGAAGGCTGGCTCAGAATAATTCGCAGGTTTCTGAAGGAGGAATTACAGTCAAACCAGGTCAAGATGCCATTCATAAATTGATTATTTGAAAAGTGAACCCGTTGTCGCTTCTGTAACTTGTAGCCGGTATCAAATTGCATTCAAATGATCGGTGAATTTTTGACTGCAACTTTTTAGTATACGATGAGATGGAAAATATTTCAATGGGTGAAATTTCTATTTAGGCGTTCTTCAAATTTAAGAAAACTGAGCCGGCAGAAATTTTATAACGAACTCGCGCGTGTATTCACTGCTCATGACGCAAGCAAAAATGCAGACTGAAATCAACAACAACTAACGGATGGCGGCATTTTGGCCAATTGGAACAGCGCAAATCATCCGTATTGTTTCCTATCCAATCAGAAAAAAGTCCAGATTCTGGCTTTTTTACATGTGATCCGATAAAGAAATGTATCATGCCCTCTTCCCGTGAGAGACTTAAAGGGATAATAGGGAGAGGGCATGATCTCACGCTAATGGGAAGGCTGCCGAGCCATTTACTAGGTTCATATGTGACACACGTCCTACATACTGCTAGGATCAGCAATGACGATAGAGTACTGTATAATGATACAGAGACACTGATGGTAAGGCTACTAAGCAATTTACTAGGTTCATATGTGACACACGTCCTACATACTGCTAGGATCAGCAATGATGATAGAGTACTGTATAATGATACGGAGACACTGATGGTAAGGCTACTAAGCAATTTACTAGGTTCATATGTGACACACGTCCTACATACTGCTAGGATCAGCAATGATGATAGAGTACTGTATAATGATACAGGGACACTGATGGTAAGGCTATTAAGCAATTTACTAGGTTCATATGTGACACACGTCCTACATACTGCTAGGATCAGCAATGATGATAGAGTACTGTATAATGATACGGAGACACTGATGGTAAGGCTACTAAGCAATTTACTAGGTTCATATGTGACACACGTCCTACATACTGCTAGGATCAGCAATGATGATAGAGTACTGTATAATGATACAGGGACACTGATGGTAAGGCTATTAAGCAATTTACTAGGTTCATATGTGACACACGTCCTACATACTGCTAGGATCAGCAATGATGATAGAGTACTGTATAATGATACAGGGACACTGATGGTAAGGCTATTAAGCAATTTACTAGGTTCATATGTGACACACGTCCTACATACTGCTAGGATCAGCAATGATGATAGAGTACTGTATAATGATACAGGGACACTGATGGTAAGGCTATTAAGCAATTTACTAGGTTCATATGTGACACACGTCCTATATACTGCTAGGATCAGCAATGATGATAGAGTACTGTATAATGATACAGGGACACTGATGGTAAGGCTATTAAGCAATTTACTAGGTTCATATGTGACACACGTCCTACATACTGCTAGGATCAGCAATGATGATAGAGTACTGTATAATGATACAGGGACACTGATGGTAAGGCTATTAAGCCATTTACTAGGTTCATATGTGACACACGTCCTACATACTGCTAGGATCAGCAATGATGATAGAGTACTGTATAATGATACGGAGACACTGATGGTAAGGCTACTAAGCCATTTACTAGGTTCATATGTGACACACGTCCTACATACTGCTAGGATCAGCAATGATGATAGAGTACTGTATAATGATACGGAGACACTGATGGTAAGGCTACTAAGCAATTTACTAGGTTCATATGTGACACACTTCCTACATACTGCTAGGATCAGCAATGATGATAGAGTACTGTATAATGATACAGGGACACTGATGGTAAGGCTATTAAGCCATTTACTAGGTTCATATGTGACACACGTCCTACATACTGCTAGGATCAGCAATGATGATAGAGTACTGTATAATGATACGGAGACACTGATGGTAAGGCTACTAAGCCATTTACTAGGTTCATATGTGACACACGTCCTACATACTGCTAGGATCAGCAATGATGATAGAGTACTGTATAATGATACAGGGACACTGATGGTAAGGCTATTAAGCAATTTACTAGGTTCAAATGTGACACACGTCCTACATACTGCTAGGATCAGCAATGATGATAGAGACCTGTATAATGATACAGGGACACTGATGGTAAGGCTATTAAGCAATTTACTAGGTTCATATGTGACACACGTCCTACATACTGCTAGGATCAGCAATGATGATAGAGTACTGTATAATGATACAGGGACACTGATGGTAAGGCTATTAAGCCATTTACTAGGTTCATATGTGACACACGTCCTACATACTGCTAGGATCAGCAATGATGATAGAGTACTGTATAATGATACGGAGACACTGATGGTAAGGCTACTAAGCCATTTACTAGGTTCATATGTGACACACGTCCTACATACTGCTAGGATCAGCAATGATGATAGAGTACTGTATAATGATACGGAGACACTGATGGTAAGGCTACTAAGCAATTTACTAGGTTCATATGTGACACACTTCCTACATACTGCTAGGATCAGCAATGATGATAGAGTACTGTATAATGATACAGGGACACTGATGGTAAGGCTATTAAGCCATTTACTAGGTTCATATGTGACACACGTCCTACATACTGCTAGGATCAGCAATGATGATAGAGTACTGTATAATGATACGGAGACACTGATGGTAAGGCTACTAAGCCATTTACTAGGTTCATATGTGACACACGTCCTACATACTGCTAGGATCAGCAATGATGATAGAGTACTGTATAATGATACAGGGACACTGATGGTAAGGCTATTAAGCAATTTACTAGGTTCAAATGTGACACACGTCCTACATACTGCTAGGATCAGCAATGATGATAGAGTACTGTATAATGATACAGGGACACTGATGGTAAGGCTATTAAGCCATTTACTAGGTTCATATGTGACACACGTCCTACATACTGCTAGGATCAGCAATGATGATAGAGTACTGTATAATGATACGGAGACACTGATGGTAGGTAGGTAGGTAGGTAGGTAGGTAGGTAGGTAGGTAGGTAGATTTTTTATTTAAAACTCGGTAAAATCTTCAGTAATAATAGAGTAAAAATCTAATCACAATTAATTAGACTAAAAACTATCGACATACTGTTTTACAAGACTGCCGAGTGAGAGTCCGACGACTCAAATACATGTTTGATTTGCTCTTTAAATTTCCTGACTGATTTAGTTTCTCTCACATTTTCGGGTAAAGAGTTCCACAACAAAGCACCGCTGTAACTGAAACTTCGTTTCAAGTAGTTAGTACGCGGCCTGGGCAACGTCAATTTATGAAAGGAATTGCGCAAATCATAGTCTGTGCTTCGTTCGTGAAATAGGTTCTGCAAGTACACTGGAGCTTGTTCATTTAGAGATTTAAACATCATTATTGCTTTATGCTTCTTTCTCCTTATAACTAATTTGTCCCATTTGAGTATATCAAGAAGCAGGCTCGAGCTAGTCCCATAGTTGGCCTTTAAAATTACTCTAGCTGCACGGTTCTGTAACTTTTGTAATTTGTCACTCAGTTGATCACTTAAGCCATCCCAAACAAGGCTACAGTAATCAAAGTGAGGTTGAATTAAGGAGTTATAGACTAGTACCGCAGTAGATTGGGAGATAAGGGGCCTAATACGTCTAAGGGCACCTATAGCCGAAGTTACCTTCTTACACAATTCGTTAACATGATTAGACCAGGAAAGCCGATTGTCAATAATGAGACCTAATGATTTTGCGTGATCAACATTGCTGATAACTTGGTCTTCTAGTTTGATGTTTATTTCGTTATGGCTTTCCGCGAGAAGCTTCTGGCGAGCCAATAACCATAAACTCGGTTTTCGCAACATTAAGACTAAGCTTATTGGCTTTTTAGCCAACAGTGAAGGTTCAGTAGTTCTAAGTTAGTCTCTTGTTCAAGGTCAGCTAGAGAGGAACCAGAAATGGTAATAGTTGTATCATCTGCGAACATTTTAGCGCATGCTGAATTAAGGCAGTTTGGAAGATCGTTTATATAGATTAAGAAGAACAAAGGACCGAGAATACTACCCTGTGGGACTCCGCATCTTAGTTCGCTTGCACTGGACAATACGCCATTAACATAACATTTCTGGCTCCTGTTACCTAGGTAGGAGGCAAAGAATCGTAGGGAACCCAGATCAAGTCCATAGTTTGCAAGTTTATGTAACAAAATTGCATGGTCAATGGTGTCAAAAGCCTTTTTAAGGTCGATATATACCACACCAT